GTTCTGCGCGCGGGTAAAGTTCTCTGAGGTCAACAATGTTAAACCCTAGCATGGATCAAAATAATGTTGAGACTGATTAAGATGAATTTGTGATAACCATTTTCTCGTCCGTTAGCTGGAACCGAAACAGCGCCTGACTGCGGGTAATAGGTTTTTCCGTGACTCTGCACATAAGCGTTCATATCTAATTACATCACAGCTGTGGTCATTAAACAGAACTCGTGTTTATTTCATGACACTTCAACCGTGAAATAATAATTTGGTCAGATGTTCGTGTTCAGTCAAAACAGGGTGAAGATTCTGGAACAATCTGGAAATACTAATATGGACGTAAATTGTTCTAACACAACAATCATGTTTGTGTGTGCACACATTAGTGTAGGTGGAACTCGAGACTCATTTCCTCCCATCAGCCCAACCCTGAGCCTGGTTCTGCCCAAGGTTTCTTCCTGTTAAAAGGGAGTTTTTTTGTCCCACTGTCACCAACTGCTTGCTCATGGGCCAGTGGTCTGATTGTGGGGTTTTCTCTGTCTTTCTATATGGTCTTTACCTTTCAATATAAAAGACCTAGAGGTGACTGTTGCTGTGAATTGGCGCCATATAAATAAAACTGAATTGAATTTGAGCCTGTGAGCCTGACAAAATCGACTTAACTTTGTTTTAATTCAGCATTCCAAGATTGTGTCTCAGTGCTGGAACTAGCATGTCGACACTAGCATACTTGTGTAGTGCATAAATTTCAGTAGTAAAAAAATATTTGCTACCGTACACCATTTAGACACCTATAACACACTGCATGTGCCCAGACTTGACACTTTGGTTCTCAAAATAGCAAGCTGGAGTGAAGGTACATTATTAAAGACCACTAGCAGGACTATAAGCAAATGTTTCATCAAGTGGCTGATTGATTCATACACATTTGCACACATATACCTTTGGCAGAATTCTGACATAGATTTAGCCACGTCACGAAACGTGTGCTAGCTAAACTGCTAGCTAGCAAATGTGCACATTTAAAATCCTTGCGGATGACTCAGCCTCTGGTCAACGCATGAGCAGAGGTTGAATCATTAAGTGGCTTACTGATTCATGCACATTTGCACAAATATACCTTTGATAGAATAAAGATTTCTGACATAGATTTAGCCATGTCAGGAAACATGAGCTAGCTAAACTGCTAGCTAGCACACGTGCATGATTTAAAATCCTTGCGGATGACTCAGCCTCTGGTCAACGCATGAGCAGAGGTTGAATCATTAAGTGGCTCATTGATTCAAGCACATTTGCACACATATACCTTTGGCAGATTTCTGACATAGATTTAGCCATGTCACAAAACGTGTGCTAGCTAAACTGCTAGCTCATGTTTCCTGACATGGCTAAATCTATGTCAGGAAACATGAGCTAGCTAAACTGCTAGCTAGCAAATGTGCACGATTTAAAAT